GAAGCCGCACGGACTTCATCGATGTTGCCTCCTCCTGCAGCTTCTTGCACACACTGTTAAATATCTTGATGCTCTCGACGAGAGCAACAATGCGCCGATGCGCAGCAGGCTTGGGCATGAGGTCATATATCGCGTCGACGCGCTTGATCACGTCCCGTATGCGCACGTAGCGCTCTAGAATCATGAAGATGGAGATCCACCGCGTAGCGTTTGCACGCAAAGGCACGAGGCTGGTATGACGTCGGAGCTCAGCAGGGTTCTTCGTAGTCCGTAGCGCCAGCATCAGCGCGCTTACCGCTCCAACTAGGTCCTCGTGCCCCGCCAAAAAAAAACTTTAGTTGCCAGGTTGAAACGATGAGACACGCAAACGACCAATTGGACGCCAAGAAGAGTTGTCGACAGCTGATTTGTTGCACAATTGTCTCCAACCAGAAATTTTAACGACTTTTCTGATTGGCCGAAAATTGTCAAAATATTTTCATTTTAAGACACAGGGTGATGCAGCAGTAAGATCGGCCTTATCTAGAGGTGCCACCTCTAACAGGACATAAAATAGCTGATCATCTTTCCAAAAGACGACGTACTGCGATTCATAGTGCTCCGAAAAGCATGTCTACCCGTCGTACATGACACTAAAGGTGGGTGGCATTGCTTTAGTAACCTCCTTCTCGACCTCCTGGGGAGTTTCTACCATGCATCGCATGAGCGTTTTTGAGCAGATGGGCTTGCGACAGGACATAGAGCGAGTGGTTGGGTGGTCCACCTTAGATAGAGGCGTGTTTCGGTCGACCACCCACTCCATCCAGTGTAGATATTTGCGACCTTGTCGCTCACGAAGCCAAACGTGTGCAGGTTGCAAGCCAAGAAGCTGGCGTGAGGTAGTCAGCTTCGTAGTTGGGGTGCTTGTCTCTTAAATGCCCCACTAGGTTGCCGTAGCCGCTTGAAGAGAGCTGGCGACGTAGTTTGCTGCAGTAGTTGTACTTGAAGTAGTGGTCAGACAGGGCAGCAAAGAACGCACAGCAGATGTCGGCGTTCTTGGGCATTGGTGAGGGGTTCTATTGTTCTCGAAGTCAAATTGGTAAGTGAAAATGTCAGTGACTAGGCAGTTGGAGGGGGTTTCACGGGATTACTGGACAACGTAAGAGCAAAATAAAAGACTTCGCCCCACTATTCGATATAATTTTGCAAGTTTGTCGTGCCTCTGACTTGAATAATGTATGCTACTCGAGCTTTAACTTGATTTTACTAACGAAACAGTAAATGTTGGTGAATATCAATAATATGCCCGATTTTCAGATAGCAATAATAATAAATGTGGTAAGATAATAGTAATGTTATTTATAAAAAAAAAATTCCGGGCACTGGAAGAGAACATGCGCAAGCATTATTAATGGAATAGGAACAGCAGATACGTGCCACCTTGAAATCGGGAGACGGCTCGATAGGCTGTACGATTTCTTGTTTGACTCCAGGCGACTCATTTTCAGTATGGACGCAGCTAGAATTGCTTCCTCTATCCGTTGTCATAAGATAGATACGAACCAGTCAACACCAAACTTAAGAAACTAGTACTAAATCATTCTTGACCTCAGACACCACTTTAATATATAAAAAACGAGTATTCCTTTGGGAAATTGAGAAATGCATCAGTCAGACAGAGCCCTAGACAGAGAACTAGTGGTTGTTTTACACGCTAATAGATCGGTGCGAGTAAATACGGCTTGGCTTTTCCACATTAATACTATACCGTTAATGGCCATTATGTATGGGTGCCTTCGTGCGATTGTTAATGCAAAATGTATTCGTGACTCATAAAATGACATGCGATAAATGCTATTTATCCGGGAACCCTGGTGCTGGCAATTTCACTTGTAATTTTTCGATGGCATGTCAAGTTTACTACTGTATCACCTGTACGTCGACATCGAGTTCGGTTGCTACAAGTGGCCTTGAGATCGCCAATTCCTTTGGACTTTACACACTAAGTGAAAAGTCTTTTCCAGTTGTCAAGGCGGTGAACTCTCAAACCTGGAATGCCATCGCTGCAATTAGCTCGTTCACCCAATCAACAATATTGCGATTCCCTAAGTTTGTCAGTGGAGCAGTTTTCTACCCAGAAACTTTCACCTTACAAAATCCAAGTGAAATACGAGTGCATGTCAATTCGTCCACAGTGCATCTAGGACCCCACAGACTTCTGGCTTCTGCAGCATGAGCGACGCGTTCCCCAAGCCGCCTGTGCCCATTGCAGGGCTTCACGCCGGCAGTAAGAGCGACTTCGGCGAAGACTTGGACGTGGACGAGCTCATCGAGCGCAACCGCTGCCACGAGGACTATTACAAGCTGGAAGACTGCCTCGCAGACTTCGATCGCGACTGGAGAAAATGCCAGGAGCAGGTCAAGAAGCTCAAGCAGTGCAACGACCGCGCCAACCAATTGCGCAAGGCACAGGAGGCTGCAGCCGCCGCCAGTAAACACTAAGAACGACACTTGTCTCGCTGTATTGTTGATGTTGCTCTACTTACTTTGATCTTCTGGACTGCATGATCTCAATCTTGCTGTATGGTCTTCTAAAGGGGAAATGAAAGTGGATCTACCGCGGTTAAAAGGGAGCTTCGACCGTTCGGCCTTCGCCGGCTGCACCGTCCGCGTTGGCCCCGCCCTCTGGCGCTTCTTCTTCTTGCTCGTCCGACACATACCAGCCGTCCATAGTGTCAATGTCCATCGCCGTGTCCTCGTCGCGGCTCTCCTC